TAGATCCTAGCCAACAGCGAAACATCACTCAGTGTTTTCTGGAAACTTTTTATTTTGCATACAGTATTTGACTAAAGTTTTTTTTTTCACATTTCCTTTTACAAATATAAAACAAGGAAACATTGTTCCCTGGTAATAAAACCATGGTCGACTAAACTCCCCTCCGTAGGCCTACGTACGTGTGCTGCGTCGCCGTAGTTGCCTTAAAAAAACGAAAACAGCTCTTAGTGTAGTACGCGAACAGTGTCTTGGCGTTGCCGTCACGGTCCATTAGTTCGTAGTAGACTGGCCGCGTAGTCAAAACGAAAAATGCCTATTATCTGAACGATCGCAGTGGGTTTAGAATGCGTATGAAAACAAAGATGGCGTATCGACATATCGGCCATTTTACGGAGAAATTACTTTACAAATGTTTTTATTAATTTCTCAAATTCAACAAATTGTTGAAGGTTAGTATTTTGTGACTGGTTTATTGACTACCCAAGGATTCCAAAACCTTCATTCATTGGATTTTAGAAAATGGTTTCATATCCATTTTAACATATAAACAAAATACAGTATGGTATAAATAATGCAGTAACTATGATCTGCACACCCCTGTGCATTTGAGCTGGTTTTTGAGGTTTACTGTACAGTATATGGATTGTCAGTAGTCTGACAAGACTAAGTAGTCCCAGGACAATGCCGAAAGTCCTGATTAAAAAAAAATTAGGGAGCTTTCGATTTTACCACAGTGGTAGGACGTAGAACGTAATGTTGTCAGTAATTTAGTCATCATAGTGAGAACGTAAAGTTAACCTAGTCTAATAGATTCTTGAATGCAATTTGGCCAAGTCTATGTACAGTATGTAGAGAACGTAGGATGCCAGGTAGGACAGTCACGCATGAGTGATTCCGTTCTGGCGTCGTGTTTTCGTACAGATCGAAAGCTCCTTGTTGTCTTGAGATTAGACAAATTAATTTTTTTTTTCTATTTTAGATGGCTAAGGTGTACAGTAATGATAGATATTTCCATAGAATTCAATTAGCAACTATGGAAGTTCTTGAGAACTCTGCAACAGTAGAAAAAATGTTGGATGGTTTCAATGAACACCACAATGGGTATGGTCTCCTCATGAAATGAGGTTAATAAAGTAGTATTTTCAGAAGTCCTTAAGATACACTATAAAAAAATTGGAAAAATAAGAAACCATAACAAATTTTTGAATAGCTGATTTCAATCAAACGATAAAAAATGCTATTAACTTCTGTCCAGATACAGATCGAAAAGTAAAGTTAAGGAACAATGCAGAAGAACAACATTAACTTTATGTTAATATATGGGGACATGTTTTTCTCATTAAAATAATTTAATTGTTAATCACTTAATTATAGACTTAAATATACACAATAAGCTATTCATATACGGTATGGTACTGAATTTTTAAATATTTTTAGCCCATGATAGACAGTGGATCTTTAAATAAATATTTAAAATTTAGGCCTACTTACTAGTATATTATTTCACAGTCTTTAAAAAAAAATGTACGTTGATAACATTTTAGGGGGCCCCACCTCTTCTAAATCCACCACTGGTTTGCCATCAATTACATGCCTACCCAATTTGTGAAACAAGCCAATACCAAACAGAATTGTGTATTGTTTGCAAGTTTTTTTCTTTATACCATGGAATTTCAACAATATGTGGTTAAGTTTCTGCGCAATTTTTTTTTTTTTGAGTGATGTTCTACTGCTTACAGTGTTTGTGTCCTCATGCCAAACACACAGTACTTTCATTTATTTATTTATTTTTTATACAGTACTTCTAACGTCATTAGGAACGACCCTTCCAGCTGAACCTTTCGGCTAAACCCGAAGGTCCACTTTTACTTAGGGGCTATATAATGAATATCATCTATGATGAATACATAATGTGTAACATTTTGATCCTTTGATACATGGTGTCCCAAAAGACTTACCTTTTCAAAGCTTCATATCTCCAGTATAAATAATTTGTAATGTACTGTAAGTAAAACTGAAAACATACAGTATTTGTAAATTAATAGAAAATATTTAAATTAAAAAAAAACTGTAAAAACTGCACATTTAATAATTAAAAATTAAATTATGAAGATTATGATTTAGATCTTTTGTATAATTTCCATTGTATTATTTGAATATGTTTATTTTAATTTTGTGAAGCACCTTGAAAAGTTTATAATTAAAAATGCACATTAAAGTTATTATCATTATTATTATTATTATTATTATTATATTATATAATTGTTATTTTTATTATTATTAATTTATTATTATTATTAATATTAGTAATTTTTTTTGTATATTTTTTTGCACAAACAACATAAGTTTTCAAAAGTTGGGATAGTCTTTCATTTTAAAAATTGAATTTTTAGTATACTTAATTTACTTCTTGAGCCATTATCTATCCAAAGGATGAAGGTCCCTGCATGCTGTCTCCATAAATCTCTATTTTTATGCCCTTTGGTTCCAGTCCACTTCTCCCCAGCAGTGATATATTACATCCCTAAATCTTTTTTGCTTACTTACAGCCTCTGTTTACTTCAACTACAACATAAATTTACATTTTACTGATATTTGACACTTTCTCTTTTGTTTAGTCCATGTATTCTGAAGATATTCCAGAGGCTATTAAAATTCAGCTTGTAGGAGTGCTTGAGGAGAAGGCATCTATTCTCTTGACTAACCCAACAAGCATCGAACAAACAATTGGCTCTCTAAAGAACATCTACCGACAAACTGACGGCAAGAGTTGGATTTTTCATAGCCAGTTGCTAGTTGCAATGACTGCTATATTGCTAGGATTAAATCAGTTGGTATGTGTATGTACATAATTTTCACCAATATAAAATTCATAATTATTTCTATTGAATAATTTACTGTTAAATCCACCTTAACAACTACCAATTAAAACAAGCCTAGGAATACCTACTTTTCCCACAAATGCACTTGTTTGACAAACGCTTGTTTATTTACATAATAATACGCTATTGATTTGTGGGTCCCTAGCATGAATATATCCAAAAAATGGGCCAAGCAGAAAGGTCCCTTATGAATCAGAACATATTGACTTTCCAATAATTACAGAAAATAGATATTTGATCGTGAGTCTACTGTATGCACAGTGGAATTAAAGTTACCATTACTAGTAATGTCTGAATGAGTAAATGACTGAATGGAATACTGTATACAAACCGTAAATCCTTAAATAAGCGCCGCGGCGCTTATAAAAAAAATAGCACTTTCCATGGCCATCCCCATGTTACTTTTCTCACATTCCCTTAGTACAGTGTTCCTATTATAAGTCTTCATTGTATTATTTATTCATTTTAACACTGTATAGGTTTACATTGTATTTAAAACTCTGTTTCTCAAAGTGTTTCATTACTTCACACAGGGTAATAAATATACTCTCGAAGAAGCGCTGTGGCGCTTGTTCGGGAGCAGCGCTTAGTGAAAAAATCATGTTTGACACGGCGCTTATTCGAGAATGGCACTTATTAGAGCATTAACGGTATTAACATTTTTACGCGTAAATTTATGCATAAATATTTAGATGTGCATGCAGTGCGAGAGGTTATCCATTTTTAACCTAGGTATAGACTGGAATGATGTTCATTTATTGAAAGAAGGCCAGCCTAGACTACCTAGGCCATATCAGTGGTTTATTATTTTACAATCTCAAAATTTTTATTGGTTGGCCAGTTATTTTTACCGGTAAAATTAATGGCTAAAACGGCTTCGGGAGAACACTGAATAAGTATGGAAATGAGCTTGTAACTGTTTTATTATTCAGGCAGAGCAACAACAATTGGTTGTGGACCATATTAACCTACTTCTAGAGCTGATATCAAAGGTGAATAATGGATCAGATCGTCTTCTCAGAGGTACTGCTTGTGAATGTCTGCGAGAAATTGAGACCATGCACCCGGTACGTTTAAAACTGATTACCTTTAAAGATACATTTGGAATGGATTTCAGGCTGGAAACAGTTAAAAATAATTTGTAATGTGTATAAATAGGTTTTAAATTTTGTTTATTCAGTACAGTATATTCTTGTTTTAAAAAGCATGGCGACAAATAAACAAGATCTGATCAGATCACATAAAGACTAGCATGTCTAATAGCTAATTAGTTGATGAAAAATGCTTCTTAAATCCAAAGGTTCTAATGTTTATGTTCAAATTTATATACTGTAACCACAGAGGCCCAGATCAACACAGGGTTGTTCTTCCCTGGGTCTGTAAACACATAAACACAAGAAAGCAATTTATACGTCATCAAAATGTAAAAAAAAGAAATCACATACAGTATGTGAAAGAGAATTGTCTGAGCTATAACATACATAAAGTTGGAGACGATTGATCAAGGATAAGCGACATACGCTCAAATACTTATTTTCAAAAATTACGTCTTAGATGAAATTCAGTTTCTTTGAATTCAGATGGCAATATGATGACATCACAATGTCCGATCAGCCATTATGATCTATAAAATCATATTTAGAACTCGTGCTTTCAGAATATGTAATAAAAATTGGGGTCACCTTTCATCCTAAGCAGCTATAACTGATTAAAAATAGGCCTGATTTTAGCATATTTTCACTGTATATCGGCACAAACGCGTGCTTGACATTTAACCTTGACCTGAAGTTTATGCCCACTCAATATGATTTAGAAATGACAATTGTTTAGGAAGATATGATCGATAATGTAAAAACGCACAACAATTGCGCGTAGAAGATGTCACGCATGACTGAGCACATTGCAAAACTTATTGTGACTATTCCAGGCCAAGCCAAATGTTCGTTGAGGTTATCTGCTCGTGAAGCGGATCACCAAAAAATGTAAAAATACAGTAGGTCAAAATAATGTATGTAATCTAAAATGTATAGAGTACAACATTAGTTAACGTCCTGGTCTTTTAATTATTGTATTTTTTTCATTGTAGGGTATTCTAATGCGGAAAATTGAACATCTTTATTCTATGATTCAACTTGAGAGGACACATGTCTGCCAAATTTATATGGTTTGTGGATAAACTTTATGATATTTTAAAAGTAGTTTTAGATACCTTGGGCCTACAATTTTAAATGCACTACCTCAGTATTTCTGAAATTGTAATCGATTTAGTTTCTAAAAGTAGTTTTAATATATATATATACTGTCTCTTATACACATCTAGGGCTTGCGTGACACAATATGATGCTGGCTAAACTAGTGGTAGCCATTGTGTATGCACTGAAACATGAAGGTCCAAGTTAAAATAATGCACTGCTAGAAACAACATTGAAGTCCTTAGTTCTTATCTGTTTGCAATGTGGCCCATGTGCAGATTCAGATTCAGATTTCTTTTATTTTCCACAAATAACATAAAAATATAAAATATATGTGGAGGAGGCTATAATAAAATCATGTGCTGCGCAGAGCACAGATCTTTAGGCTAATAGCCGCCTTAACAAAAAGCAAAATAATAATAATAATAATAATAATAATGATGATGATAATAATAATAATAATAATAATAATAATAATAATAAATAATGATAATAATAATAATTATTATTATTTGCAGTATTTAAAAAAGTCAAATAATAAAAATTATGTAAATTTAGTTCACAAAAAGTTAAAAGTTATTCAGTATACTGTAGCTAACTGATTCAACAATTATATAATATACAATCAGAAAACAGTGAAATAATTAGAAAATAAATAAATACATGGTATTGCTCACCATATGCCGAGATCAGAGACATTTTAAAGGAGGATTTAAAGCTGGTGATGGATGGAGGTATATATCTCCACAATTTGGGGCCTTCATTGAAAATCGAAAACCGTCTAAGTTGTGTATTGCACGGTAATTTTGAATAAAAGTATGCAGTGTACACTCTTCAAGAAAGATTCGATGAATTGACTCCTGTGTAATATCCCCAATTCCCACTGAGAGGAACACAAGATATAAATAAATATTTCTGCAAATTCGCTAAGAGAGAAAATAATGCTTAAAAACATTGAATAATTTAGAGGTAATTTTTATGTTGATTAAATATAGCTAGTAAATTGAATATTACATTGCTTCAAAATCATGTAATCACATCTTTGAAAGGAAATACTATTAATACAAATAAAAAAGAAAAAATTATAACAGTTGGTCATAGCAGTAAGTCACTGTATAATAGGCCTATATGTTTAAATTATAGGCTCTGTTTGTCACCGTGTTTAAGAATGCTGTAGTATGTGTTACCACATCACGTATAAGGTAAGTGTAAAACTGGTGCTGTGTCTTTTTATTTCTGTTTCAACTGAGCTAACAAAAAAAAAAGAGTATTTATATGAAACTTAAGACAAGACTTTTTTATACCTTGTTTAGCGAACCTACTGTTCACCATTAATAGTGATTTTGAATTTAAAAAAAAATAATAATAATTTTTGGCCCAATTAGCGCACACGCAGAAAAAATAAAATTTTTTAAAATTTTTATTACGCATGCTGCTGCAAAAAAGATATATGTATTTCTTATTTAATTTAAAAGCATTAACTATCTCATCACTACACTGTTTACATTCAACAATAAAATGTTATTTTTATTTTCTTGTCTATCTGGATGTTGTTGGCAAAACCATTTGCTAAAGGAGAAAACAAAATTTTAATTTAATTTTTTCCGCCCTACTCTGACAATCAATTGCTAAACACAAAAAGCAAGAAGAACAAGTTTTATATTTAAAATAAATTTTTTGAAGGAAAGCAAAGTTAAAGAATTTATTGAACTGAGAGTATCTGGGAGAAGATTATGTCATAGCTTACTTAGTTATTTTTTTAAATTTTTTATTTTCCAGGGACAATGATGCCATATCTGATTTGTTATGCCACCGAAAAGAACTTTTAAAAGTAGGTACCATAAACAACTATAATGATAATATTTAAAATAATAATACTTGTACTGTAATATTTAAATAAGAAAAATGCCATCGGAATAAGAATAATAGTGATATCAAATAATATAGTGGGGATAATAGTAGTACGGTAATAACATATCTTCAAGGTATCGGCTCAGTAGCTCTTTTTTTTTCAGGGGAGTGCCAGTGCTATACCAGTTTGTACAGTATTACAATTTTTATTTTTTCCTGATTTTCTGCTCTACCAGGGTATAAGCCCACCCACTAAACAAAATATTGGAATCAAAGTATTTAAATGAATTGCATTTATGCTAAAAATTGCCAGCTGTCAGCTTAGTCATGGGTTACCTACAGTATATCTCTACATTACCTCTCTCAAGCCTTTTTTGTGAAGCCTTGGCCACTCGTAGGCCTAGTCTTGACTCACTCTACTTTAACTAGGGCTCTAGCATTTTGTTGTCCTTGTGTATATCTATTATTACACTGTATATCACTATCTCCTCCTTCAAACAAAAAACAATGGTAATAATAATCTTACTCACTCTGCCACAATTATTGAATATTTTCAGCCTCTCAATATACCTGATGATTTTACCAGTAATATGTTTCAACTTGAACCCAAGGTAATAAGTTTAACATATTTATTTTTCTTAAAATCTGTCAGTAGATAATGATGTAGCTATTATACTGTATTTCAAACAAATGTGGTAGTTTAGTCGGACAAGGCGGTAATATAAAAAGAAAAGACAAGCACGAACAAAGTTTATTGTCAATTTGTGTACATATACATATAAAAAACCCCTCTAATGCAGTAGAATAACCACAACTCGATCTATAACGATTATTGTTTTACAAATTATAACACATTTACCATTAATACCACAGCCACTTAACTACTCAGTTTAATGTACTTCCATGAACTACTGCGTGACACTATTAGTCCAGCAATTATGTCGAAAAAATCGTGCACTTTGTGATAAAAGCATTAAATTTGGCACAAATGTACTATGAACTATAACAAATATTTTCAGGTAGGGACTCACTTCAGCAGCACCCTGTATCAGCCAGAAATGGTAAATTTATATTTTTAGACATATTCAATATAAAAATGTACTTTAAATCAACCTCAGTTCTTCATTTATATATTTATTAGTAATTGGATAAATATAAGTATTAATGACAAATAGTTTGGATCTATAAATGTAAAAATTACAATTAAAAGAGCCCTCTAGTGGTCAAAAACTAAAATTTTTATTTTAGCCATATTTATGTCGAAAAAATTTGTATTACAAATTCTTATTAATATAAATAAATGGTAGATATGCTTAAATTTTTTATGACAAATAGTTTGTCTTAACGTTAAAAAAAAATTAATTTTAGCACCCTCAAGTGGCGAACATTTTTAAAATTATATCAGCTGTATTATTATGCAACATGGATTTATAAACCTCAGTCTTAGTACCAAAAAATTAATTTTTTTTAAAATAATCATATTTTTGTTTATAATTAACTTTTGAATGGTATATAATTTGTTCAGTAATCATTTTGCTATAACCACAAGTAATAAATGAAATCAAGGTGTCAGTAACAAAACTGAGAGAAATTTTAACTAAACCATGTGTACACAGTACGCATAACTGCATAATCATTGAAAAGCTACTCTGTGTGCTTAGTAACTATGCAACAAATTTTATAAAATGTATCAGAACTGTAGGTAACATAAAGATTTAGCCATGATTACAACAATTGATAATTTTTAACCTGATGTTCTATTAGGCGCGACAAATTATTCAAAACGACAAAGACACGTTCAGCTAGGCAATGCTATCCCAAACGCGTCTGGCAAATCAGTCGTCCTAATTTAAGCTCTTTATTCACTATGAATATTATAAATTGAATATTCATAATATTATTATGAATATTAGGTAAGCGCTAACGTTCATAAAAGGCGTCCAAACGGTTCGAACGGTTCTTGTTTACAGCTGTGTAGGCTACCGTTCGGACGTGTTTTTTACGTTCCTATTGTTTGCTATTGTTTAAAGCTTTTGCCGCTGTCATTCAGGTATGCAGGTCGGTTCGCGGAAGTTGGCGGGGAGACACTCACAAAAATTACGATTGCTGTTTTTTGGACCGGTAACTTCAACCTTCAACCTTCTACTAAGAATGCCATTCCTAGCTATTCCAGTTTACCTCACCTGGCAAGGCCTAAAACTATAACCTGAATTCCTAGATTACTGTATTGACTATTATGTAGCCAGGAAATAATTGAATATGCTATACCCATTGCCTGACAGTTTAACTATAATGTCTGAATCACTGAATATGCTCACACTTGATTACTGTACTTTTCCCACTGCTGGCTCCTTTGTACGCCACTGTGGAATGTTGAAAGTATGTCAGCTGATACTAAAAATAGGCTTTTGCGTGCGTATGAGGGCATGGTACTACTACTGTATAAAATACATAAAAAAAATGTTTAATAATTAAACTTTGAAACCGCTATTGTGTAAATACTGTAGTCCTATCGTCTGTAAAACATTCAAAATAAATACTTAGGCCTGGTAGTAGTATTGTACACCTTTATTTATTGGCATTTAGTAGTGTTTTTTTTTTTTTTTTAACAATATTCTATCATCTATTCAGTATTCATTTTGTTTTGTGTAGCCTATGCTATGTTTTCATTCTCTGAAGAAATCTACAGCACCACGTAGACCTATTCATGTTCAAATCAAGGTTAACTTGTAAATATAATATTGACAGATCCAAGTAATCTGATATGTCCTGAAAATATATAAAATAACAGTTAATCAAACATAGAAATTTGATATAACCAGGGCCCAAAGACTGAGAAACCAACCCCAGTGCCACAACAGAGTAAAATATTGATGCTAGGCTCTGCATAGACATGTCAGAGAGATCTCAGAGAGATCAGTGATTATCAATTAAAATATCTAAATCTACTTTTAAATACTGACATGGCAATACATTTAAAATAGCTCTTCTCTTTTTATATTCACTGCACGCAATTTCTACAGAAATAAGTTTTATGAGACTCCCATCTACTCTGCTAGTTCGTAAACATCGCTCGAGTTTTTACCAGAGGTTTTACCATGCGGTCGATGCGAAGCTCTGTGTACAACAGTGGAAAAATTTGGGCACGCTGTTAATTTGATCAATCAAATCCATTCTTGTAGCATTCAACTGTGAACACTGCGGTTTTTGGATTAAGCTCAAAGGCACTTCGTTCAACATTACGTCATAAATGTTTGTTGATATTTCTGTATGTGAGCCTGTTGAAATTTTTATAAAAATTCCTGAAAAACATATAATAAGATGATTAATTATTAAGATATAGGAGGTTGGACTACTCTGCTGTTACTACACTAGTACTACTAATACTATTTTTTATTTTTTTCACACTAATAAATTTTATTATTTATCCCACAAATTTCCAGTAAAAGTCTGACAGTCGTTAATATCAGTTGACCTGTTTCATAATCTGTAGACCATTAAAAACCTTGGTCCATTTTTTCCTTTTAATAAATAAACTTTAAAAAAATGGCCCAAGAGGATTTCCATTGAAAGCCATTGCTAATATGGTTTGAAATTTTAATTAGCTTAACTGTTTCTAGGCCACAAAACTTTAGTAAATGTCTATTTAAATCTAAGTTTGATAAATGCCATTTATGGAGAAGTATGCATTTTTTCTGTTTTCCAGAGTGACTTTGAAACAGCACTTTTGCCTCCGAGTGTGAACACCAGTGAACTGAAGAGGGCGTCAGCATTCTTGATGGAAAGTCTGTGTCTCATGACGACACCGATGCAGTGTTACGTTTTGAGTCACATAATGCAGTATATAGCCACTGTTCCTAGTCTATCGTCATCAGTAAGACCATTGCAATACACATAAATAATAATATTATAATTCAATTTTAGATAATACCTTCCTTTAAGAGGTGACCAGTGCAATTTAAAATTAATTACACTTTTAAAATATGTGCATGTACAGCCCTCTCGCCAAGATTTTTTTAAAGAGTGGCGGAATTTAAGAAAATGTTGATCACAAAATTTAAAGGGTGGTGTGGAAATTTTAAAGGGCAGATACATTTTTGGTAATGTACTACTTATGGTGTCAGACACGACAAGGTATGACCCATGTCTGACAATTTTAATTTCATTTACTCGATACCTCTAATTAATTTAATAATTCAAACAATATATGTACACTTAACTTATAAAGAAACAGAAACAATTCATCAAAACTAGTACTTACAAGATGGAATCTGTTATATATACAAAGTGCGATGCTGCATGCGTTTTGATGAGGCTAAAGACTTAGACATTTTCACTCGCGGTATAATTTTTTCTATAACGATTAATTACAGTTAGTTTTCAGTAAAACTTTCACTAAATAGCCAATGGTTTAGCATTACCATTTAGTTTTAGAATACTAAGCCAAAATTCTGTATAAAAAAATATGTGTTTCACATGAAATCCACGTAAATTCTATTAATAGTGCTAAATGTTGTTTTATCAATCACCGTTCATAAAAATGGACACTTCATTGAATATTGCGATCGTCGTCACACATGTACAGTAGTGAACGCACCCTATCTACTAACCGACCAGGGACCTCCCAGATTTCACAGCTACCTACTAGCGCGCACAGGCGGCGTACAAAGAGATTCTGCAGTTGAGTTTGCATTAAAGACAGTGCCTCACGATATATGCGATTGAACAAGTACTTTTCCCCATAAGAACATTGTGGAACTGCCAGCAGTCCATATTTTCTTAGCATGGCTCAAACATTTTAAGCATGGTGCAATCCTTGCTTATTTTGCCTAAGTGTGGTGGTCATTTCGTTTTTGGCCCAAGCGTGGTGGTCCCACCACGCTTAAGTATAGCTGGCAAGACCCCTGATGTAACTTGGAATATAAATATTACTTACTGTGAGAAATTTAAAATCTTAAGCTTCGTCCAGATTGTCAAATTTTCTTTAACAAAACATTGTTGTATAGTCATGATGTGCTTATGTGGCAAAGACCAGCCAAACCAATAACTCCTCACAAACCAAGTTTTTGAGATAATGGCCAAAATATGCTGGAATGTCAGCATTTTAAGAATATATTTTAGTGCATTATAAACTAACCTTTATTTCTTGCTATGTAGTTATTCTCACAATTTGCAACATTATAACAACATTTTTAACAATTTGGTGGTGGTTTCTGCCTGAGTAATGACCTAAATCATAAACTTTAAAGACTGATTTCTCAAAGCTGTATGTTTAAACTCCTATTTTACCATCTTATGATTTTCATTTTACTTTTTAACAATGCATTAATAACTAAAAATTAATTTTTCTGCAAGGAATGACTGGTTTGACCTGTCTTTGCCACATATGGTAATGATGATCATGCATGTCATGTGTTTTTGACAAATAAAATTTCCTAGTCTGGACAAAAAACTGTTGTATGCCCATATATAGTCATAATGTGCCTATATATGTTCATGATGTGATGTCATCCTGACCATATTTAGGCATGTCACATGTTTTTGTCATATAAAATTTGATAGTCTGTACTGGACTTAAGGGGATACCAACTTGATTCACTCAGTTGGTAGAGCAACTGGTCTTGGATTCAACTTTATCTTAAATTGTATTAAATGTCTAAATATCACATTTTATTGTAATGGTAATCGACTTATAGAGCATTTTACACAATAAAAAACCTCTCCAAACTGTTTATATAATACTGTACTATGTACAATCCAAAAATTCTAAAAGAAGCCATCTATGACATGATATTTTGTTATCGTTAATAATCTGTGAATCACTTGGTCGTTGTATCTTTCAGACATTCAAGTCTCACTTATTAGAATTATCTTGTACATTAGATTTGTCTTTGTTTCATGTAGCTTTACAACTCAAGGTAGGTTGGAAAACCATCACCATACATTAGCATTTCTATGTAAGTTTACCAAGTTATAGATATTACTATATGTCTATGATATGATATTGAATACTTTATTTAAAATTAGCCCTAATAATTTTCTAGATAACCTTGACAGTACGATCAGTTTCATGTAAAAGTAAGCGGAGCTGTATTAGTTGGGTAAACTATAAACTATATAATTTACAATGAAATATATATACTAAGCAAAGAGAGAAAGTGTATATATATATATATATATATATATATATATATGTGTGTGTGTGTGTGTGTGTCATATGCTGTATACTCATATACTGTATACTCATTCAAAATTGCTATTTTCTATATTTTTTAAAAGCTTCACTATAAAAATCTGCTGTGCCCCAGACCATAGGTGGTGCTAATTGAACATTGGGTAGGTCCAGTAAGCACTTTGCCAGTAGTGCCAGGGCACCTCAGCCCTCGCAAAATTAGTGTTTGTTTTTTTTGTGTTCTGGGAATCTCTAATTTGATGATTTTTTATATAATTTAATCACCTAATACCTTCCGACTAAAATCTCCAGTCACAGCAAGATGAATAACAAACATGGTGATCCATACTAGGCACAAAGTCGGCCTGTTAATTGTTTTGTAAAAAGCAATATTCAAACTGTTTTTTGAGAAAAGTATCGGTGGGGCCTGCAGGAGGGTTTAACTACCTACTAAAATTGTTGGGTGGGTAGCCTAGGCTAGACCCACTCGGCCCAACGTGTGCTGCCACTAGTGGCCGCGAGAGTTTCTTAACTCATGCTGTGCCAAGGAAAAGGTACTGTAGCTACACCTGTACAGGTCCGGAGTGCCCATCCTCTTTTATAAGCATTGTAGCCAGTGTTTTTTTAAATAGGTTGCCAAATATTTCCTACTGGAAATTGGCTAATACATTTATTATTATGATGTGAGTTCTCCTATGACATTTATTATTAAAACTGCATTAATATTTATTTGAATAAAAATGGTGTGCAATTTTTGTTTTGTTTTGTAGGCTGTCTTTAGAGGAGATTTAATCAATGATGCAGATGAAGAAATGCTGCTAAGGCGGTTGTTGCTATGTACTAACCACCCATCATTAACAACTGCACATCGACTTCTGTGTTCTGACTGGCTGAGATATTTTCCAGAAAATGGTGTAAGTGTGATTATTTGAAATTGGTGCTTGACAGAATCTTTAATAGTAACATTTTAGTCATGACCAAAATAATTATACTTCAGTATGTAGTATTTTTCATTATATTTTATAGTAGAATGTGTATCATATATGTATTATACCAGCAATAATAATAGATATAAGATAAATTTATGTGGTTTTATAATAATGTTGTGGCTATTAATTTTATGTTGGGCCAAAATTAAATTAAATTAAATTCAAAAGACATTTATTTTCGTCCATGAAAAAACAACAAAAATGAAAAAGAGCAAAAAGTACAATGCTAATAAATATATATAAACAAATTTAAAGATAAAAATAATGGCCAAGTACAGTATTTTTAATTAAAATAAAAATGTATGGACAAAGGCATATTTCCTAAAATATTGAGACCTTGTGCCGGGTATGCCTGTAACAGAGAAAAGATACAGAAAATAATATATGATTAAGCTAAAGAGAAATCGATAAGTGAAAAAAAAATATGAATAAAAGTAAAAATTATTCAATAAAATAAATTCAAAAATGCAAATATATGTTGGCTAGACACAAATTTGTTCAATGATATTTTAGTTTATTAAATGCTGGCGGTACACCATATAGATAGTTCTAAAAAGAATTGTTGTTTTGTTGAGAACAATATTTTAATTGCTAATTATTTTTTGCTCAATAATCTTTCTATATAGGACTGTTTATATTGCAGTTTTATAAGTTAAACCTAATATTTCACATTTTACTTTGTCTCATTATTTTAACAGAACACTAGAAAAGTTGGCACTTTGCCAAAGAACCTAATGGCAAACAGAAATCTGAGGGCTCTCCTTCCAAAAGTGTTCGATGGCTTAGACACTACACTGATCAAACTGAGTATGCTGAATGAATGCTTTACTCCAAGCAGTACAAAAGGTACCATATTAACTATTAGTATATTCCTAACCAATAGACGCGATTGGTGACTTGAAACGTGACTTTGACTTGCTAAGCCAGGCACTCACTGCATCGTAAGACTGTCATGCGACGAATCCAACTCCACTCCCTGCAAGCGCTAGACGACACAATGCTGTCTGCTGATTGCCGGTGGCAGTCTGAACGGATTGTTTTTAAAAACAAACTGTTGCATGCGCATCGTCTTGTCAGTCAATCATTTATTTCACTTGCTTTGTCTTAAACTACTGTACAAAATAGCAGATGTTGATACATATCGTAAGCCGCAGCTAGTATATTATAGGTACGCTTAATTTGTGTGGGCAAGGGTCTGATACTTGGTGATTACACAGCCTAAATCTAGTATGTGAACACTGTATTCAACAATCATATTGCTCTTCCTGTAATTTTAACAGATAATACTCTATGTTCCACCAACCAAACATAACATGATTACAGTATTACCAGTTTCAGGTCACCTATTGTGTCTACAAGATGCAATACAAGATAAAGTCTATTGCAGATTTAAAAGTAGAACAGTTTCACATATCCCTTCTCGCATCTTTTTTAAATTACATTACTAAAATGTATAATGAAGATAAAGGATTTCACAAATATAGTTATGTTAAGTTTGTTTATATTTATTTTGAAAAAAATTAAATTGTCATTGTTCCCTTAAAACTGTTAGAATTGTCTGCCTCAACACTGCATTGAACTACACTAGCATTTATTAAATGTGTGTATTTTTTCATTTGAATTTTTATAGATACTTCAAATGGTATACTGATGGGATGTCTACAACCGCTGCAGAAGTCCATCCATTATGGGATTACTGGTCGTACAGCTGTCACTTTATTTCGATCTCTATTCCAGTATTTCAGAAAACACCACGATAGTTATCTAAAAAACGAAATCTTTAGGTAAATAATAGAATTTTATTAAAAATAAAAAGCCGAGCAAAGGGCTGGTGAAGGGCTGGTGATCTTGTATTGTAAAGTTATTACAATGAATGAATCATCATCATATTTAGTTGAATGCAGTGGTGGCGCCAGCGGGGAGGAGGGGCCAGTGGGGAGGAGGGACAGGGCCTCCTGTCGGCAGGCCTGGACCTGGGCCTGGCGTCCGAATAACGTTATTTTGATTGCCAATCTAAAAGCACATTTTGGACCATAGTAATCCGTAAAAACTGGCCTTGTGAACCCTACCTGGGATTTTTTATTCTGAGCTGTCGACCGAGGCTTTGTTGGCCTCTTGGTTCCGACCCCTCCGTCAAATATGTCGGACCCCTTGTTAGCAAATTTTTGGCATCACCGTTGGATGAATAGTACATAATATTTCAGGAAAAGATCAAAGGTCAATTTCACGGAAATTAAATTTTTTACCCTGAGCATAAAAGCTGTCTCTTATACACATCTAGATGTGTATAAGAGACAGCCATTATGGAGTTTCTGTGGTTATTGACCTGATGACTGGCTTAGCTATTGAAGTTTTGAGTAATTTTTGTCATTGTTGTACATTAGCAAAAAACACAAAATCACAGGCTGAATTTGATGAGTGGTTTGAAGAACACAAAAACCTTTCAATAGAGGTGCAACTGGTGTTTTGCACATAATGCATGAACTTGGACTCGCATACAACCAAAATAGTTTGGAACTAACTGAAAAAAGGGACAATAAGCATTTGAGGACTGCTGCGAAAGTCGCTACTTTAGCCTCAAAGAGACATAGAAAAGAAATGAAAATCAGAAAAGCATCAAAAGAGGACAATTTTACCATTACAGAAGGGGAACAATATGGACGAGGATTGGATGAAATTAACTAATAGGTTAATTTTTACATCATTTCTTGTAAAAAATAGTATATCCGAACTTTGACCTTAATTTTCTCAATTTCATAGTCACAGCAAGATGAATAACAAACATGGTGATCCATACTAGGCACAGAGTCGGCCTGTTAATTGTTTTGTAAAAAGCAATATTCAAACTGTTTTTCGAGAAAAGTATCGGTGGGGCCTGCAGGAGGGTTTACCTACCTACTAAAATTGTTGGGTGGGTAGCCTAGGCTAGACCCACTCGGCCCAACGTGTGCTGCCACTAGTGGCCGCGAGAGTTTCTTAACTCATGCTGTGCCAAGGTAAAGGTACTGTAGCCACACCTGTACAGGTCCGGAGTGCCCATCCTGTTTTATAAGCATTGTAGCCAATGTTTTTTTAAATAGGTTATACATATCCATTCTACACCCATAACTACTACCTTTCACTACTTTTTTTATTTGGTGCCAAATATTTCCTAATGGAAATTGGCTAATACATTTATTATTATGATGTGAGTTCTCCTATGACATTTATTATTAAAACTGCATTAATATTAATTTGAATAAAAATGGTGTGCAATTTTTGTTTTGTTTTGTAGGCTGTCTTTAGAGGAGATTTAATCAATGATGCAGATGAAGAAATGCTGCTAAGGCGGTTATTGCTATGTACTAACCACCCATCATTAACAACTGCACATCGACTTCTGTGTTCTGACTGGCTGAGATATTTTCCAGAAAATAGTGTAAGTGTGATTATTTGAAATTGGTACTTGACAGAACATTAAAGTCATAACCAAAATATAGCACAGAAGGGCCTATAATTATATTTCAGTATGTAGTATTTTTCATTATATTTTATAGTAGAATGTGTATCATATACAAGCAATAATAATAGATATAAGATAAATTTATTTGGTTTCATAATAATGTTGAGGCTATTAATTTTATGTTGGGCCAAAATTAAATTAAATTAAATTCAAAAGACATTTATTTTCGTCCATGAAAAAACAACAAAAATGAAAGAGAGAGCAAAAAGTTCAATGCTAATGAATATATATAAACAAATTTAAAGATAAAAATAAGGGCCAAGTACAGTATTTTTAATTAAAATAAAAATGTATGGACAAAGGCATATTTCCTAAAAAATTGAGACCTTGTGCCGGGTATGCCTGTAACAAAGAAAAGATACAGAAAATAATATATGATTAAGCTAAAGAGAAATCGATAAGTGAAAAAAAATATGAATAATAGTAAAGATTATTCAATAAGAATAAATTCAAAAATGCAAATATATGTTGGCTAGACACAAATTTGTTCAATGATATTTTAGTTTATTAAATGCTGGCGGTACACCATATAGATAGTTCTAAAAAGAACTGTTGTTTTGTTGAGAACAATATTTTAATTGCTAATTATTTTTGGCTCAATAGTCTTTCTATATGGAACTGTTTATATTGCAGTTTTATAAGTTAAACCTAATATTTCACATTTTACTTTGTCTCATTATTTTAACAGAACACTAGAAAATTTGGCACTTTGCCAAAGAACCTAATGGCAAACAGAAATCTGAGGGCTCTCCTTCCGAAAGTGTTCGATGGCTTAGACACTACACTGATCAAACTGAGTATGCTGAATGAATGCTTTACTCCAAGCAGTACAAAAGGTACCATATAAACTATTAGTATATTCCTAACCAAGAGACACGATTGGTGACTTGAAACGTGACTTTGACTTGTGAAGCCAGGCACTCACTGCGTCATACGACTGTCATGTGACGAATCCAACTCCGCTCCCTGCAAGCGCTAGACGACACAATGCTGTCTGCTGATTGCTGGTGGCAGTCTGAATGGATGGTTTTTAAAAACAAACTGTTGCGTGCAAGATGCAATACAAGATAAAGTCTATTGCAGATTTAAAAGTAGAACAGTTTCACATATCCCTTCTCGCATCTTTTTTCAATTACATTACTAAAATGTATAATAATGATAAAGGATTTCACAAATATAGTTATGTTTAGTTTGTTTATATTTATTTTGAAAAAAATTAACTTGTCATTGTTCCCTTAAAACTGTTAGAATTGTCTGCCTCAACACTGCATTGAACTACACTAGCATGTATTCAATGTGTGTATTTTTTCATTTGAATTTTTATAGATACTTCAAATGGTATACTGATGGGATGTCTACAACCGCTGCAGAAGTCCATCCATTATGGGATTACTGGTCGTACAGCTGTCACTTTATTTCGATCTCTATTCCAGTATTTCAGAAAACACCACGATAGTTATCTAAAAAATGAAATCTTTAGGTAAATGATAGAATTTTATTAAAAATAAAAAGCCAAGCAAAGGGCTGGTGATCTTGTATTGTAAAGTTATTACAATGAATGAATCATCATCATATTTAGTTGAATGCAGTGGTGGCGCCAGCGGGGAGGAGGGACAGAGCCTCCTGTCAGCAGGCCTGGACCTGTCGTCCGAATAACCTTATTTTGATTGCCAATCTAAAAGCACATTTTGGACCATAGTAATCCGTAAAAACTGGCCTTGTGAACCCTACCTGGGATTTTTTATTCTGAGCTGTCAACCGAGGCTTTGTTGGCCTCTTGGTTCCGACCCCTCCGTCAGACATGTCGGACCCCTTGTTAGCAAATTTTTGGCATCACCGTTGGATGAATAGTGCATAATATTTTAGGAAAAGATCAAAGGTCAATTTCACGGAAATTTAATTTTTTACCCTGAGCATAAAAGAATATAATGGAATGACGTCTATCATACATGGCCTGGGTATTGTTCGGTATTCAAGCACAAGGCGGAATATAAGAGAATCGCCCATATACATAACCTGCTTATTATTACGTGGTATTTCAGGCAGAGGGCATGGGTATGCACTATATATGGATTGACTTTCTCTAGTTCCTATATAGGACTATTGATACTGTAAAATACAGAAATGCAGATAAATCTGATGCGCTCTGACCTGTGCTAAAATTGATTTGATGAATGGATAGCTGAGAAGAATTTTATTCAGGATATTTGGAACGATAATGTATATAAAGTTTAGCGATTGATTGGTTGATTGAATGATTGATTGATGGAATGATTGTTTGATTGGTTGCTTGATTGATTGACTGAATGATTGATTGATTGAAAGTAGACAAGTAAGTTGATGACGGAATAAACCCAATTTATAAATTTTTCAAACAGGTTTTATGTGGTTGTCAGAATCTTAAATATAATGTTTAATTAGTGAATATATTCTTAATTGATATTTAAGTATTTACTATGAATTATAAAAAGTCCTATGTATAATAGTATTACAGTATTAATTATTTAATAATATTTTGATTTTTTTTCTCTCCTCAGTTTATTATTAAGTACTGTCTTAAAGCATCCTGTTTTTGCCCCGCATACCATCAATTTCCTTCATTGTGTACAAGAGGTGGTTCCTCAGAGGTAAGACATACATTACATTGTGAATAAATATTTTATCCTTTCAAATTTTGTTTCCCAAGGTCGGGGTTTCCATCCATAGCTGTGCATTTTGCTTGTGTCCTTAAGGCAAGGCACTTTACATACATTGCTTCAGTCTACCCAGCTGTAAATGGGTACCAGCGAATTGCTGGGAGTAAGCTGCAATGGATCAACGTCCTACCCAAGGGGAACATCACACTCTCATCTGCTTCACGCTACTTGAAATTGGGGATAAACTCAAGCCCTGGGTGCCTTGTGGCTTGGCAAGGATTTACTTATTTACATTTCTGTTGTACTTTTTTTTATTGCATTTTCTGTTCTTTTTAGTACATTTCCAGTGGACCTTTTGAGGGCAACTGCAGAGGATATTCTGCAACTCAATCCACATGTAATATTGAAGAATCTCAACAACTATTTGAAGTTACTAGAAAGAATATCAGCAGAGAAAAACATTAATCCAAAGGTAAATAATACTAATATAGCACTAAAGTTAAAATTGATTAAAAGCGCTAAATGTGGAAAATAAGGCATGTAGTAGTTTTAAGTCAGTGGTTCTCAAAGCTTTGGTAATTCAGACTGTAACCAAGGGTGGGGGGGGAATCCCTTTTTGACAGGTTTACTACTAATATAGTACTGCTGTTGATAAACATTTATGAGTTATACTTAGCCTGTTGGAAGCTCCCTTCCCATGAACCTGGTTATGGGCTTGTAATTTTTGGCGACCCAATTCCTTGGATTTTGAAAAATTGATACTCAAAATGGGTCATTAAGTGAAGTAAAATTTACTTGAATGAAACTTTGAATGTGCTTCCTTTACAACAGCTAATTTTAGCATGATAACAAATTCCATTTTTGAAAAAAATCTTGAGAACTTGAGAACTGCTGTTTTACATTTACATTTTTGGAAGCCCATATTCTTTTTGATATGCTAGTAAAAATGTTAATGTGATGAAGCATGTATTTAGAGTTATATCTAAACTGGCAGAACTGATTTTTGTTTTCCAGCCAACCTTAGGTTTCGTACATCAGCTGTTGCTAAGTTCAGATATATGTGCTGAGGGAAATTGGTTGTTTGGCAACAGTATTCTAGCAGTTTGTAATAGTTGTATGCATCATCATAACACCACAGATATTTTTACAGGTACAGTATTTCTTTTTTACAGTTTTATTATATGATTAAACAAAAATGCTTGTTTATTTTCACAAATGAATCATGATCATTATGGGTCACAAATGAATGATGAACATCATGAGGCAAAAATGGGCTGTTGACATCATAGGTCATGAAATTCATGGGTCACAAATGGGCCAAGAAATTCATGGGTCATATTAGATCATGAGCATCGTGGGTCACAAATGGGTCATGGATAATGAGTATCATGCAGGCACCCATGTAATTTGAGAACTGCTGTTTTACATTTACATTTTTGGAAGCCCATATTCTTTTTGATATATATGCTAGTAAAAATGTTAATGTGATGAAGCATGTATTTTAGAGTTATATCTAAACTGACAGAACTGATTTTTGTTTTCCAGCCAACCTTAGGTTTCGTACATCAGCTGTTGCTAAGTTCAGATATATGTGCTGAGGGAAATTGGTTGTTTGGCAACAGTATTCTAGCAGTTTGTAATAGTTGTATGCATCATCATAACACCACAGATATTTTTACAGGTACAGTATTTCTTTTTTACAGTTTTATTATATGATTAAACAAAAATGCTTGTTTATTTTCACAAATGAATCATGATCATTATGGGTCACAAATGAATGATGAACATCATGAGGCAAAAATGGGCTGTTGACATCATAGGTCATGAAATTCATGGGTCACAAATGGGCCAAGAAATTCATGGGTCATATTAGATCATGAGCATCGTGGGTCACAAATGGGTCATGGATAATGAGTATCATGCAGGCGCGGATCCGGACCTTCGCCCAGGCTAAGGTCAGGGTGAGAAATAAAAATAAAATGTTTACCATTTTTTCCAACAATCATACTTACTTTTCTTGACACTTATTTTGAACACTGCCATTAGGACATTGTTTAAATCCACACCAGTCTATATCTTAAGATTTTACACTGATTGTACTGTAGGCAGTATCAGAGAGGTACATTCCCATTACATTATGTTTTTCCATTTGCGCATGATACAGTGCATGGCAATTGTTGTGTAGGCTAACCACCACTAATACAGAGTCGTTTAGCTCAGTCGTACGTGTGTCTGTTGGCATTGACACTGTGTTTTTAGCAGTGTTTTAAAGTAATAACCTATCAGACGTTTACATAAACAACAATGTACTTTTACTACTGGCGGTGTACTATTATTGTTTTCAGCAACAGTGGCGTATCCATGATTAGGAAGGGGAGTGCCGATGAAATGAGCGTTCACACCACGTCAGCTCCACCGTGGTTGGCAGTGACGCAAAAATTTCAGTATTTCATACCTCTGGATGCCCGGAAATGGAACTTAAATTACCTTTTAATTCTTTCTATTTTTGACGAATTTGAGTAAAAAATACCCAATTAATTAATTAGGTACCCGAAAATGAAACTTAAATACTTACAATTTTAAAGACTACCAAATTCAACTGAGCCCAACCATGCCCTTCATGAACTCAGGCTGAGGTGAGGAAATGTTCAGAATTGGGGAATGGGACTTTAATACTTTAAATGTCGGTTATTTTTTAACATTTATAAAGGGGCACTTTATATTTTCGTAAACCTCTGAAGGATGGGGGTGCTAAGGCACCCTGAGCACCCTGGATACGCCTTCTTTCTGTCTCCAAATGCCGTACCAAAACCTCCGGTCAATGTTCTTTTACTTTTGCTTCTGCCTATTTCTGGAACCAACTTCCAAATACTTCTTCCAACTCCTCTATTTGCAACTTTAAATCACAGCTTAAGACCTATTTGTTTTCCGTTGGCTTTTCACATGTGTTGCACCTTTGATCTTGTTTGGAATTGGCGCCATATAAATTTGTGATATTATTATTATTGGGATTACGCTACAAGGATGTCCTAAAGTGCGACCTAACTTCCTTTGACATTCCATTATCATCCTGGGAAGAACTGACGCAAAACCGCTCTACTTGGCGCAACCTTCTTTACAACGGACGCACGCATTCTAATGCTGAATACATCAACCACTGTAACAAGAGGAGGGAGCAGAGACACCAGAACTTCCCAAAGTCGAGTTAAAGGGGGTACCACATGACAGATGTCAACCTAAATCATTGTACTCGATGTAAAGGCCAATGATGATGATGATGATCTTCCTTGTCTCTCTCTCCTTATCGGGCGGTTACTGATCAGGGTCGTAGCCATGAGAATTGATATGGTCAGGTTGCGACCCCATGTCGGGGTTCAGTGGCCGGGGGCCTGGAAAAAAAATTTGCTATTTCTCCATTGCATACACCAATTTTAATGATGTTCAGTTGTAGTAATCTAATACATATTTAAAAAAAAAAAATTGTTATAAACTAACATCAGGGCTATGATGAAGCAAAACAGTAAAACACTTTAAATTCAAAACAGACAGGTTTATTCAAGAGAAAGCTTGTTACTCACAACATTGTTATTGTTATTTTTATTGTTATGAACAAAAAATAATATTGCTATGGTACATTTTCAACCAATATATACAGGCGTGCATTCTTCGCGTCAGTTCGCCATGGTGAATGTCAGGGTGAGAGATAACATTATATTTAAGAAAAATATAAAGTGATTGCAGTGCCTGGTGGTCTGACAAATTCAGCTCTTTCTGTCAGAAGTGCCACCTACCTCAAACAAAGACCAAAATATAGACAAAAATTCAATACATATTTGCATTGTCTCACTATTAATTAAAAGGGACTGTAATTAAATCGGCTGTTCGATGTACTGTTGAGTTTTTTTTTATTTTTTTTTATTTTGATTTATATGTCACGGTTGATTTATATGTATGGTTAATCAAAAATCATTCACGGAGAGAATGTACATGTGCGTTGATTCTTTTAAAACCATATTGGAAGGCATATATAATTTTATTCTATTTTGTTATTTTAAAATCACAATAGACAATTATGCATATTTAATTAATTTTCTGGTGGAAGCAAAATCACACGAATCAAGTTTGGTTTTGGTCAGAGTACAGTTTTTGAAAGAATTTCATTATTCAGCTTCCTTTAACACTCTGACTGCCAGGGGTTTGAAAAAATAGTATAAGCCACCGCCACACTTTTTAGTAAATTTTAACAATTTTCCAAAGCTCGTTGAGAGTGCGTATGTGATCAGATTGACATGTAGTGAATACTACAAGAACTACAAACATTTTAGCTTTACAATGGTACAACATTCTATTCTAATCACAATCTGTGATCCGTAACAGTAAAATGAGATTTACGTAATTTCATTTTTATCATAACATGAATTTTAAACTGTAATAATTATTATATTATTAACAAAGACTAATCAACACATAACATATAACATGTACATATCAAAATTATTATGTTTAAACTTTCCTCGTCAGTGCTTGCATAAAACGTAATGTCTTGGAATTTGGATCTAACATGTGTATAATGATATTGATAAACAATCAAAATTCTCTACAATATTATGCTAAACATTTACAGAGTGGACTTCCTTATGTTGTGGTCATATTAGACTGTAATATTATTATTAAAGAAATCCATTCAACAAACAACATAAAACAAACATATGAAAGTTATCAGGTTAAAGTTTTTACATCGGTGCATGTATAAAACATAATTTCCTAAAATTTGAATCTGATATTGACAGACAAAATTCTCTGTACTGTCTATACTAATTTAACGAGTGGAATTCCTTGATTTAAGGAAATATAAATGTATATTGAGATATGCAAAGTTTAGAAGGTTAGAAGTTTAAAAGGTAAAGGAGAGAACTTCCTTATGTTGTGGTCATGTAATATCATTAAATATCATTTGACAAAAAACATGAAACATATCTAAGTTTAATATAAAGTTAAACTTTCCACTTCGGTGCATGAAAATAATGTAATTTTGGGATATATGAGATTTACATAACATTTGAGAATGTACTGAATATAAAATCTTAAATATTTTGCATTTTAATAGCAATCTGAACCCCTGAAATACTAAAATTGGGATCCAGCAGGCAGTGAATATTCCATTTGGATTTAGTGTAGATGCTTTTTACATGTTTTTATTTTATATGAATTCTATTTATTTTGTATGATTCATTTGTTATATTTTCCACAGGGCTTTGCTTGACACTTCACATCAAAGGGCCTGTTAATTAACCTTGCACAGCTACTTCTTCATCACCTTCATCTTCTTCATCATCATCATCATCATCATAATTATTATTAATTGTCCATAGCAAAGTATGAAAAACTATGAATTCAGAGTGTATTCAAAATAGACATGTCATAATGCACAAAGTGTATTTCAAAGCATCTAGAAATCAAAAACTTTTCAAGGGAGGAGCCGGAGACTCCCCCACCCCATGTCTAAAATTTGTCTTCCAGCGACAAAACATGCCAGCTCTCTTCTCATGACCCCTCCCACCATGGGAACCCATCTGTGTGATAGTCAGGATAAACTCTGTATCCGCACTTGTCAAGGGTCACAAATGGGCCATGAGTATTATGGGTCACATATGGATCATGAACATCATGGGTCATAAGTGGATCATGAATATCATGGATCATGAATATCATGGGTCACAAATGGGTCATGAACATCATGGGTCACAAATGGATCATGAACATCATGGGTCATAAGTGGATCATGAATATCATGGGTCACAAATGGGATGAATATCATGGGTCACAAATGGGTCATGAACATCATGGGTCACATATGGATCATGAACATCATGGGCCACAAATGGGTCATGAATATCATGGGTCACAAATGGGATGAATATCATGGGTCACAAATGGGTCATGAACATCATGGGTCACTTATGGATCATGAACATCATGGGCCACAAATGGGTCATGAATATCATGGGTCACAAATGGGATGAATATCTTGGGTCACAAATGGGATGAATATCATGGGTCACAAATGGGTCATGAACATCATGGGTCACAAATGGGTCCTGAATATCAACAACACAGCACTAGAACAGATTCACTCATGCGTGACCATCCTACGTTCTTTTCAAAACGTAGATTTGGTCAAATAGCATCTTGGAATCTGTACAATGAGGAGAACTAAACGTTCTCACATGCTCAGATGACTTCTCAGTGACGTTGTTACGTTCTACGTCCCATTGAGTCATGCAGCAATCGAAAGCTCTCTATAAACTTCCCCCACTGATCCCATCACTGATATATGGGTCACAGTGTATCATGAACATCATGTTCAAAAATGGGTCATGAATATCATGGATCACAAAATCATCTGATGTTCTGACTGGATTTGTTAAGCATGGTTAAGAATACAGAGCACTATTAAAGTAAAATGAGGCTTTGTATTATTTAATTTTAATAGATGTTGGCAATGTGCTTTATGTTATGCTTACTGAGTTCAACGACATCGATGTACGGGATAGAGCTCGATTTTACTATGCTATACTCACGAATTTATCCACAGAAAAGGTAAAATTAATTTTAATAATTAGCAGTTACAATTTAGATAATGAGAAATATAGATGCAAGATTTTGAGAAAAGAAATTGCTTGTACAGTAATACTTGCCTAAGTCAACTTTGCCTAACTCGACTAATAATAAAGTTTATCTTATTTTACTTGCCAAATTGTTGTGTTTTCCATAAGTTAACGATCTGTAAGACAAATTTTGCGCTTGGTTATGTTTAAAAAGCATCTTTTTACTACTTAATTAGTCTTTTTTTTAATTTATTACATTTTTGTTTGTAATAACGCTCTGAGAGATTAGTATAGGGTGCTATATTAATAACAGGAATGGTTAAACAGTACATCATAAAATGGTTATAGCAGGGAGGGTTAACCCATTGAAGTCGCGGTCCTTATAATATACGGACCAATTTACTGTCGCAGGAAGCCCGCTCCGAATTATATACGGACTGTCTTTGTTGCTGCTGCCCTCTTTTTAATGTACTATAAATTACCATAGCTAAATACAGTGTTGATGGCATTAATTATCAAATAGTTGATTGTAGCTTGTAGCTACTTTTTATATAGTTCTATGATACAATATGTGTGCTATATAGTAAAAATAAACTGTGACTAATAATGCCCACATATCTAGTAACCAATTAAAAGTTGTATAAATCTGAGTGATAAGGGAAAAACAGTAATTAGCTATAGTGTGGTGGTGTTTACTTGCAAATGGCAAATGACAATGTACAGTATGGTACTGCACAGTACTTTTTTTCTGGGAAGGAATGACCTGACTATCAGAAAGTCTCATGTATCCTGATTGTTGACCTCATTTTTGTCCGCACACAAGATTATAGGACTATAATTTTGCAATTATCAAACAAAACTCAATAAAACATCATTGACTGCCCTTCAAGTTAATAAAGGATCTTAATACAATGCTTTTGTTTAGACTGTTCTAATATTACTATAAGTTATTACATATTTATTTATTCTATTGTATTTTGATACCCAACCAACAGCAAATTGAATTCGCCACTTACAGGAGTTACTTTTGAAGTGTTCTAAATAATGCTCCTTAAAAGATAATTTTTATCAACTTGGACTTTTGGTACTTTAACCCTTTAAAAAATCTAGCAAGTAAAATTAGAAAATAACAAACTCATCACATAATATGTAGGACAATAGGAATGTAAAGACATAGTGTGTATGCTTTTATTCTTCGCTGTGCAATGTTTTCTCCTCAAGGTATCAAGGGTTCTGTCCCAGGCCAATGAATCTAGTCGTAGTCTGTCCAAGTTAGCTGACAGTATTAATATTCCATCATCCTCACCTGTCCAAAAATTCAAAAAGCAAGTGTTGCAGTTAACAAGGTAAACTGTCACCAGTTTAGAATATTTATATATTCTCATTATTAATAATTTGATACTGCCTTTGTGTTTAATATTATATTTTCGTTTAGGAACGAACAATGTATCAATACGACACACACACAACTATTTACCTATTTAAAAATAAAAATAAATATATATATATATATAAAGTATTGATCTTGTGTAACTCATGACTCATGATATATATATATACTGTCTCTTATACACATCTAGATGTGTATAAGAGACAGATATTATATATATAAGTTTGATGTAGAGGTTGTTATTTATATATATATACATATATATACATATACATATATACGCATATACATATATATACACATATTATACATATATACATATACATACATCAAGATCTGTCATCAGCCAAGAAGTTATTTAGCCTTTCTCAAACAAAGTTGCATGTTTAAGTAACAAACAAAGACAAATGATATACGTAAATTATAATGCGCCTTTGGAAAAATATATTTCTTCATTAGACGACCACAATGAAATACTTCTATGCAACAAATTCACTTCACCATTCACTCACCAAACTCTCTACTTAAATCATAAACCGCTACATATATATCTGTATACAATTACAGTACAAAATATTCCAAAAACATACGAACACAACAACCCCTACAACAACCATATTTCCTTTAATATCACTGTACATGACATCACGCCTTTCTTAACTGTTACGTGAACATAACAAAAAAGGTCTATGATGATGCATACAACTATTATAACTTTAACCGTTTTTTTTTAATGCTCAATACATGTAACAACACTCCACACAACCGCCACCCACCGACAGCACTTAAACATTGCCAGCTATTGTCAAGTGGGCTATTGCATCATTGATGCTCTCGTTTTTTCTAGGGTTTCTAAGGAGCCACCAACATTGCTGACACTACCAAACCCAGCAGATTTCACTCTTGCAGACTATCTTGACAAGATTCGTGATCCTGAAATACTAGCATCAGTCACTGTTAATTACAAGCTGCACATGGTATGTATCTCATTTACACTATAGAGTTCTTAAAAAAAAAAGTTGAGGTCTGTTTCAGCTTTTCTGCATTTTTTGAGAAGTGTTTTCAGTTTTTTATATTCATCCTTACTCTGTCGTGAATAATGGATCAAAACAATCGACAGGATATATTAAACAGTTCAGTTCAGCGTGCCTTAACCCTAAAGAGAGCCTTGGCTGCGTTTCTTTGGAAAGCCAATCTCCTTGCTTTCTCCATACCAATTGTCCAGCATCTGATGTTATATGCCCACTCAGACCGTCTCCTCCCTCTCCTTCCTCTTCCACAGATCTCTCCCTCAGTAGTTGCCAGGACCTGGCTGTAACCTCTCCTTTTTCCAATGTTCATACCTAGTTTTAATCTGGTATTTCTCTGACATTTTTCAGCTCTATCGCACAGTCATCATCAGTGAACTAAAAGAAACAAAAAAGGAACTTAACAAATAAGTCACATCATCTTAAATACAACCATTTAGTTGCAAAAATGAGGGGTTCCAAGTCCCCGCAAGTTACAGGAATTCTAGTAAATTGGGCCAACCTCCCGCAAGCGAGCAAGATTCTTCCGGGAAAAAATCCATTCCCCACGAATTCATAATTTTTGCATGTTATTACTCATCATCAATCGACTGTTGTGCAGGCGACCATGAGCTGATCCATTCCTGTCTGTTTGCAGTTAGTCCTTAAATTGGAAGTGTCTCTTCAATGTTTGACAGATAATTTGTGTGTTGTCTTCCTCTGATGCATATGCCATACAGGGTTTTATTATTAATTTATTGTCAATTGTCTAAAAGGAAGTCAGCGCCAATGGTTATCAACATGCGCAGCAAAATATTATTAGATATGTTAAGAAAGCTCATTTAACTAGATCTTGCAGAGGTTAGCTCTTCCAACGTGGGACCCCTGTATAAAATTCTTGGAATCTAGCAGGATTTGAACCCAGGAATTTTATAAACAGAAGGGGAATCACTATAAAACAAACAATAAATAAATAAATAAAAATAAATAAATAAATAGGGACAATGTAGCATCAATCTGTATCATAGTGTGTTTTGACTTGTATCACCTAAACTACTGTATAAACCAAGCATGTTTTTAAATTATTTGTTTCCTTGAAATTCATGTAGAGTGTATGTACTGTACTATCTCTCAAAAAAAATTCCATGCTATCTTGAAAAGAAGCCTAGCTTCTTTTCGAGGCTATATATTTTTGCAAACTAAAGAGCAGGCTTCAATTTGAGATGGTTTTCTCGAGATTAAGTCCATTGGGCTTGTATTCAACAGTATATTAATTGATTTGTAATAGATTTTGTATGGTGATTTGCTTGCCACAATGATATTGAACTTAGTATGAGTTATATTTTTACTCTTATTTTACATTATATTGAATTCAGGATGATGATTCAGAACTTGAGGAAGATATCAAAGACATTTATGCAATTGTTTTACATTTGGAAACTACTAGCAACTACCAGAAAATGACAGGTATAGAGTTATACCAATATTTTTGATGGATGTTGATAAAATTTCCCACATTAAGAACTTGGAAACAGGGTTTTCTATTGTTTTCCAAGTGATTTTGGCTTTGTTTAAGTTGCAAGACCTATCTTTTTTAAGCCTCGAATGGATTTGTTGGTTTTTCTATTTTGTTTTAAATATTTTTCTTAAATTGAATACTGCATTTTATTATGACATGCATTGTTATGATGTAAGCTTTTTTTTTTTAATTTCAAAAATTATTGGGATGTTTTATTTAGTTTTTATATGTATTTATTATTTTTTTGTTTATTTACAGTATTTTATATATTTTTTTGTCCATGTTATATATCTATGTATTATATATATTTGATGTAAACTTTTAATTGGAAGGTTTTATCTTTGTGAGTTGGTATGGAAATAAAGTTAAAAAATAAAAATAATGATAATGCAAGTCTTAGCGCATAATACAGTAACGTTGGTTCAATGCCGCTTAGATTAAAGTACAATCAGTTTAAGGTGAACTGATTTGACAAAATGAATTTCCTGTTTAATGATTGTATTTTCACATTTGTGTGATTGTAGATTACCAGGTGCCTCATTTAGGCAGAAGGGATGGTAGAGGTGTGATAGTTCAACTAAGTTTTGTTCCTCATTATCCAATTCCAACATCGTTTAGTGTCAGGTATTTGATGGAATTATTCTTTAATAACCTTTTACCTTGATAATGAGTCTAAATATTTTTTTTTTCAAATAAGGTCGTAATGATTTTTGACCTTTGCATTCATCTTTCTGGTACTAGTACTGGTATGGGCATTTATATTGCGCCTTTTCATTGAGGTTATAAAAGGCACAGTATGCTTTCTAGTGTGTTGAATTATTAATTAGCTGCCCTGTGATGAATCACATATCGTGTAAAGCTACGGTCTGCAACCTTTTACCACTTAAGGCCCAAAATATATTCCTACACCTTTTTGTATTGCCATAATTAGATTTTCTACAATTGATAAGCCACCTTTCAATGTTATGCCACTTTGTTGTGTGCCTTCTCAGAGTTTTAAATTAGAATATGCAGTAAAACTGTAATATTTAAAATCATTAATTGGATATATATACTGTCCTGTAGTTCCAACGAATGCTCTATTGTACAAGACAGTATCGTATTATAGAAAAATGTTATTAATTATGTTGATTTATTGATTTCAGTGCTTTGTTTAGCTTATCATTGAGTCGAACTGGTACATGTAAACTAGCAGATTTACATGTAAAATTTGAAGACCTGTTCCTACCCTTGCCTGTCTCACCTGAACTCAGGGTGTTATTATTTAAAAAGCTTTGGCAAGATATACGTGACGTGGAACAAAAAAGGTGAATTTACGTCTTTTTGCTCTTTTTGAATTTGCTAAAAAAATCTTGGACACTTTTATGTGACATTATCTCTTCACAAGACAAACATAAACACAAGATGCTCTACATAAACTATGGCTATGTTCTCACACGGCTGCTGACGGTTAGCAGGATCCGGATCCTGCTAACCGTTAGCTGCTGTGCGTCCATCCGAGAAAATCCCGATCCGGATACCAAAAATATGATGATCGAATCACTGGCCAATAAGAAACTGGAAATTGTAAATGCGTACGTGTGATTGGTTGATGATAGAAACACCCTCAACTTGCTAACCGGTAGCGCTTGCTAACCGTTAGTGGTATCCGGATACTGCTAGCGGTTAGTGCTAACCGATCTGGTGTTCTCACGCAGGTGCTAACGGTTAGCTCCCGATCCGGATACTAGGGCTCTCGTGAGAACCAGGCTTAAGTCTCATTATGAGGCTTAGGGAGTGGAGTTGTTTTTGGTTTTGAGAAAAAATCTTGTTAAGTGTTAAGCTGGGCACTCACTGCATCGTACAACGGTCGTACGACCGTCAACCTACGAATCCGACTCTGCTTCCTGTGAGTGGTACACATTGCGATTACAATGATCCATTACACACGTCGTGATGTTGCGTTCTCCATAGTGAGTATTGTTATTATTAATAAGTAATACATTCATTACCTTTTCAGTTCAACTTCTCTTTGCACTGAGTCTGTGTGTGTCTTGCAAATTACTATGGAGAGGATGAATGTAACAGTAGCCAATGATTTTGCAGACTTTACTGTCACCCATTATGCAACAGGTAATGTTAGATTAATATCTTGTCAAAGTTCTTTTTTTTTTATGTACAACAATCACAGTTGCCAAATACATACACTAGTACACAAATAATGAATGTTTTGTATTGGTGCAATGGGAAGATTATTTTCATGATTTGACAGATTGACTGTTCCATTCAACGAGTCAGAGCCTAGTCAATCTTTCAATGAATGAAAATATTCATCCTATTGCACGAATACAAAACATTCATTATTTGTTTTATAACACACCTAAAATAGATCCTTATTATTTGATATATTTAAAAAAAATAAAGTTACCTTTCTTCAGAATGGAATAGTCGATCTTCTTTCAACCACTGGCAACATTTTATTAGGTAGAGTCATTCAAGGGCACAAAACAAATGGAACAAAAAAATGCATGATGAAAACTTAATGAATGAGTGACCAAATGGTGTACATAACCTATGTCACATGATACGAAAACCCACCATGAATGTTTTTAGGTCACACAATGGGAAAGAATACTTTCATGAGTTCAAAGATTGACGGTTCATTTCAACTCAGTTTTGCCTCGTCGCATGTAAAAGTCAATCTTTCAACTCATGAAAATGTTCTTCCCATTGCGCTCATAAACATTCATTTTTTGTATAATATGTGTTTTATTCATACAACATATGTATGTTTTTCTATTTATTATTGAACTTTAAAAAAAAACAACTTATTATCTGCTTCTCGTATTTTTGCATCTTCCTATGTATTATGTTGTTTTGATCTTGCTTTTTTACTTATGTTTGTTTTTTTTTTGCCTTGGTGATCCTTCGTTAGTGCTCTCCTTTTTTGGTAATCCTTGGAGGGCTTTTTGTTGTATTTTTCTTTTTCCTGAAATGTAATAAAAATAATAATAAGAATTTTAAAAAACTTTAGTTACTTTGAGGTTTTGTCTACTTTTCACCACTCATATCTTTTAATATCAGCCACAATTTATATGTTTTAATAAATGTAATTTTAAAACATTGAATTTGCATTCAAGTTGATTTTTTCCTTTATTTTCAGGAGAACAAGAGAAGAAATGGTTTGTTGGTATTTTCCTTCCTCCACAAAGTCATCTTTTATTAAGGATTGCTAGTAATGCTTGTAACTCAGTAGTTTCCATAGCAACGGATAATTGGAAAATTCTTGCCCTTGTTAACAAGTATCTGCATGAGCTAGAGAATCAGTAATTGGTCAAGGGAAAAACCCATTTTTTTCTCTGTAAATACAGAATATCAGGAAATTAATGTTAACATGTATTATTTTTATTATTATGTTATCATTTATTTACCCAGGGTAAACTAAAAAAAGTAGCGAAAGTGTAAATTTAAACTTCTTTTCATTGGGCTCAGGCATATTGTTATAATATGCTTAGAACACATCAAAGTATTACTATACCATTATGCAAATACAAATAAATGTGGAAAGAGGAAAACTACAGTATTAAAGTATAGAGAAAATTTATAAGATGTTATTTTAGATGAATTTTGTGCCTCATTCATGTCACATGGATGGGTTGTAAAATGTGGACAGATGATCAAAGATTATACTGCTACCTGTAACAGACGCCACTTATTTTACAATCGTTGACTTTATGGAATGATTTAGATTCTACACAAGATTTAATTTTAAGCTGATATTTAACTAAGTATTGGAAAGTCACCTTTACTAGTGATTATACAGTATTCATGCGGTTGGCGCATCGGGTGTGGCTTGGACTCCCAACCTTGAGGTCGGGGTCTCAAAACTCTAGCTGTGCAAATGGCTTGTGTACTTAGGCAAGGCACTTTATCTACAGTTGCCCCTCTCTACCCAGGACTACACGTGGGTACCTGGTAGGTTTGAACACAACAGCGCTGATTACAAGCTGCAATATTATGTAATTATATTATGAATCCGCCACTGTTGACTTCTTAAAGGTCGTCTCTTTTGCTGATGATACCACTCTATGTTACTCAAACCAAACCAAATTACTGATTCCCTCCCAACACATAAATCATTGGTGCACTTACAAGGTGTGTCAGTCTGCCATTTGATCTTGATTTTCTTCAACAGGAATCTTGAAATTTTAAAATTTGGTGTGTTCTCTTTTTTTTTATTATTTGTAAAGAAAAAATTCTGATTTACTCATCATGATTTTTCAGTTTAAACCTGATTAGATTTTAACATGTTTTTTTAAATTTTTTTATATAGATTTTTATAAAAAATTATTTGTGCTTTGAGAAAGCCATTAGTAGATTAATTTTTATGCAAGCGATTGTCAAGCATTATGATACACTTTGTGTAATATTGTACATTACCAGTACTTAGCAGTATGATTTGTTGTCTCTCTTTTTATAAACATGATGTGAAGCTATGTATTGTTTTATATTGATATATATATATATATGTACTATATTTTATATTATTAAATCCCTCCTGAATTAGTAAACTATTCTACTTTTATATTGTGTATGTCTTTTTGTGTTGCAGAAACCAACCATGATTTACAGTAGTACAAATAGCAGTCTTTCCCCAGTGGCTAGGTAAATTATTTTTAGGTTGAATATTCTTGCATTAGTGATTGAGTTCGAGTATTAGAATTAGTGTATGTTATATTAAATCGAATCAAATTTATTTCACTTGGAATATGGACAACACATTATGGTGTTTAATCAAGTTATTAAACATAAAATATTACACAGCATTTTCCACCCCCCCCCCCCCCCCGCCCCGTTTAACAGCCCAGGACCACCCATCGTCGGAAGCCACGACTAGGTCGTCGGATCAAAATTAGCATTTTGCCTCTCAAAATAATGTTATTTTGATTGCCAAATTATAATATTATTGTCTAAAATCACAATTTGGTCCATACTTAATAAGCCATAAAAAAAAAAACTTTCTCGTGAACCCTACCAGCGATTGTTATTCCTGGACCCTGACCGATGCCCTAGTCGGCCCCTTGGTTCGGACCTCATGTCAGACCCCCAGTCGGCATGTCTCTGTGAGCCACCACTGAGAAGGCCCTCTTAACCACTGCTTGTCGGTGGTTTCAAACTGCAGGTGAACGGTGCGGCGATAGTGTTAGTGGCTGAATGTCAATGTTGATGACTGAAATTTAGTGTTTTTACCTGCTTTTAATAATTGAAAAAGAATGTTGAAGATGATGATCTTTTTAAATTATTATTTTCCACTTTTTTCGAGTATCTACATACCGATAATCAAACAAAACATAAAAAAAAAAAACATTTAAAAAAAAGGTCCTTAAGTCTAGTTATTATGCATCTATCTGTCTTATATAATAATGAACTTTGCAACATGGGCATTTAAAATGATAAGTAAAAGAACTTTTACACTCTTTTTGAGAGTTTGATCACTAGTATATTAAAATGGTAAAAAAACTTTATTATTAATATAAACGATAGGCCTACACGATACACTGTATGGTGTTTGCATTTTGGTATTCGATCTACTGATTGAAAAACGTTCTAAAAGACAAATCGGCGTCGGGATATGACGTTGTTTCGTGTGAATTGAGCAGAAAAGTGAATACTTTCGGTCGGTGATTTTCTTGTACAGTGTAAAGATGTAATTATCATTGTTATTTAGTTTAATTATTATTATTATTATTATTATTATTATTATTATTGTTATTGTTATTGTTATTGTTATTGTTATTGTTATTGTTATTGTTATTGTTATTGTTGTCGTTGTCGTCGTCGTCGTCGTCGTCGTCGTCGTCAAACTTAGGGTAAACCATGGGTAAACTAAGGTCATAGTTCTTTTTTTTCCTTTTAATATTTTCGAAAGTGGACGTGGCGGCCGCCACTGCCGGGGTGGGGGTCGAGCGCCCACTCTGCCACTGCGAGACATTTCCATGTTGTGGGTGCAGAGACGAAGTCCCTAGCAGAAAGATACAGTTTGGTTCGATGTTGTGGTAGACTAATACTGAATTTCAGGATGGGCCAGAGAGCTTATACGGAGATTATCGAGAGGCCGGCTGCAGCTCGAATCCCGTTATTTAGAGACATTGTTCATACAACAGAAAAAAAGAAGAACTGTTCGGACACACTATTCTTTATAATAAAATGTATGGAGATACTGTACACCTCCACTGGTGATAGTTAAAGATGATAATAAATATGTAAAAAAAAAAAGGTAGGCATATGTCCCCATAGAACTACAATTGAAATGACACAATAATTCAATAATTATTTCATCTAAAACTTCAATGAGGAGCTGATGGCTGTATTATCTTTTCTATCAATTAAGTAAGAAACATTTTTAAAAATTATAATTTAAAGCCTTTTGAACGGGCCACTAATAGTCCCGGGCCCCAGTGCGTTGTTGGCTACACTGTGCATACTACGCCAGTTGCCTGGTATTTGAACGTTTTTTGTCAACATTAAGATACCTTGAAAAAAAGAAGATAAGGCTCTTTACTTTTTTCTTTCACCTCTGCTCCAACCATAGTGGGATGATCTGGTACTTTCCCCCCTCTAAAAATTGCAATTTCCCCTAACCCCTCCTCCAATCAGTAAGTCAGCTACGGGCCTGGTTAGCTGAAAAATGCGAAACTTATTGCCACAGTCGAAGCCTGTTAACAGTCGGGTGAAGCCGTCATCACATACCATAGGCCTATTTATTAATTTATTTTCATTTGTATTCAAATTTATATAAACATTGAGGCCTAAACTAAAAACATCAGAATGGCATTCCACAATTAAATAAATAAAAAAAAAAAGCATCATTCAATCAGTCGATTTAAGTACAATATTGCCCATTAACAGCCAATCAAATATAATACTGTACAAAGAAGTTTATTTAGGTATACTTAGTTTTAATTATTAAATTATTATTATTATTTATATTATTATGCTGCTTATTATTCATCCATTCAAGGTCTGTTTAATGATTTTTAAATACAATGTTTATTTAAATTTCATTGACACAAAACGACTGTAACCCATTTCTTAATTCTTTAAAAAAAAAATACAAAGTAGGCCTACATTAATAACGGCCCATCTGAAGTGACCCAATTAAGGGAGTCTCAAAAGGTGCTCTCAAAAAAAATGTTGCATTTAAAATGCAACCAAATTTATTGTAGGCCTATTCTTCGGAAGGCAATATTCTGTAGCAAAACATTCCAGTGGTACGGAGCAAAAATAAATCTGTAGACCTACGATTTCCCGTTAGTAGGTAGGCTCATTGGTTATTTTGGTTTCTATGCCATAGGTTTGGATAGAATTTTGGCCTTAAAATTTTGAATAGGGACTATTAGTTTTTCTAACCTTATGAAGCAATATGCTTACTTTTTCATCACCAATAACGTGTGTTGGACATACACCTCCAATGTCAATAGTTAATCAATACGACAGTACTGTACTGTAATTGATTTTAGCAAGCAACGACATCAATCCCACTAAGCCGATATCTTCAAGACTAAAACCATATGTGCGACTATAATTGTGTTTGGTGATTGTCATTTGATTTTGTTGCCATACTAATTAAAAGTTGTATCATTGTCGTCATCAAGGACCACCATCATAAAATATTTTTGAAATAAATGAATAAAATATATCATCACCTGAGATCTGAGTTTGAAAGGCAAATGGAAAACACCCATAAAACAGCAAACGGCCATATAATGCAAAACAATTTAAAATTAAAATTAAAACGGAAAAGTAGACAAAATCCGATCAGAATGACAAAATAAACTAAGCATCCACTGGATATATATCTGTCTCTTATACACATCTAGATCGTTTCGGCCTTCTAGGCCTCATCAGTGCAGCTAGGGTAAAGATGAAGACCAAACGTTATGACCAGCTTGAGCAGGGCCTAGGCTAGCCCGACGTTCAATATATCTATATATATATGCGAATTATTATTATTATTATTATTAATTATCATTGTTTATAATAGTGAGATAATACGAATAATGAAGGTATCAGGGGCGGATTCTTCATTCTTCCCTTTTCTTCCTTTTTTTTTTTACTTTCCATAAAGGTTGGTTGGCGTTGGGGCGGGGGGAGCCTAAATCTTCCCCCGATAATAATGGTATATGAATATGATGATGATGATTATTATGATGATGATATTATTATTATTAATATTATTTGGCCTATTATTATTATTATTATTATTATTATTATTATTATTATTATTATTATTTTGTTACTAGTCTAGTCGTATTGTGTTTTATTATTATTATTATTATTATTATTGTTATTATTATTATTAATTACTTATAATTTATTGATATAATTAAGTTATTATTTTTCGACAGTGTTCTTTTCCTTTAAAATTATTAGGCCTACCTCATATTGTCTGTAAATTCAGTTTGTGACAGTTTATCTGATACAATGTGCATGTTTCTCTTCATCTGTACATTTCATTATACCACGTCACAAGAGAATTGGAGGCTTCCATTTTCTTGCTTCTAAACTTTGGAATAATCTTCCAACTGACCTTTAGACATATCTCCGATCCTAATCTTTTTAAATGTGCACTCTTGAAGACTTACTTTGCATAATTCTCTTTTTGCTGCTTTTTCCTTTTGTGTTTTTATTGTTGTAATCTGTTTATTTGTCTTTGTTGTTTATGTGACCGTTGTACTGTGATGCTTCAGATTCCTGAATAATGACTGATTTTGTGCCTACCATTGTTTTCCTGAATTATTGAGCGGCTTGGCTTGCGCTTCATAACGGCAAGGGAAAGGCGCAATATAAATACCTAATAGTACCAGTTTAAAATAAACTGCCCTAATAAGTATACTCACTTGGGATTTTACATCTCCCTGAATTAATTAATCAACACATAACAGTTTAGTTAGTTTATGGAGGAAGTAAATTCGAAGTACACTTTTAAAAGAGGTTCAAATTGACGCCGTGTGTTCAGAAATTCATACCAGTAGATTAATAACCAAACAATCATAACAAAAGTAAGATTGAAACAAAATAAAAAACAATAAATAAATAAAACCATTCCTTGTACAACAACCGATCCTGACACTGATGGAGGAAGGATATCCGAATAAAAACGTGGAAAACTAAATAGAATAGTTACTCTATCTTGTGGGTCAATATTTAAAAAAAAAATCAATATTATGAATTAATTTAATTTAGGATGGAAAGTAGATTTTATTAATCCATTATTTTAGCCATTTTATCTATTAGTGTTTTAAATATTACCATTATTTTTTGGCCAAATATAATCATGCTTAAATTAAAAACTGCCATGATAGGCCAATTACTGTATTCCGAAAAGAATTAGCTGATTGTAGTGAGTGTGTGTGGTGACGAAGAACACCGCCGCCCGCCTCCGTCGGTGATTCGCACTCTTGCGCTTTATTGATAAACAAACCTGGCAGTGGGTGTACAGCTGAAGTCGTGATGTCGGGGTGTGTTTTTGCAGATTTGTAATGAATATCTTTCTTTTTGCCATCTCAAATCTGCTTCCACTTTTCCAGTTAAAATGGAACTTCTTCAAGCAAGAGATCATTATATCATCCATGATAAAGACAATAGTCTGTGGTGTAATCGCAACAACGGGAGCCTTGTCCCACACACAGGTAGGCTAGGCCTAATAAGTAACGTAAACGTTTTCGTGAAGACAGCAAGAGAAGCGCTACGAGAGGTCGCGAGAGTTGGCATGATACGGTGGTTATGGCTAGGCCTAACTAATTGGAATTTTCTTGACTAATAACTAGGGCTAGCTAAGTTCATTTTTTTATTGTGGATGCACAGTTCGACTACAAACTACTAATTAGGCATGGGCCATCAGTCATAATGTGCGTCGGTCGGTGGAGACACGGGGGTCGGGGTTAGGAACACGTATATGCCTAGGATAGGCCCCCTGTAACCAAGTACCTGGGTCCTACTAAATACCACACGGGACCACTCGCGACCACACGGAACCACTCGCGACCACTCGGGACCACACGGGTGCAAAAATGATAAAAAATATTACCACACGAGAGTAGAAAACTACTTAATAATCAATAGAAACCAACTTTTAGTACGGTAGTTATCCAAATTCCGTTAAAAATCTATGTATCTTGATTTTGATTTGTTGGTTTTTCCCGCTGTGTCTCGGTAATGT